AAAAACAAATACTATGTATATAAGCCAGAAATAATGCCCACCTTCAATGTATTATTTCAAGGATTAAAATCAAAATGTGTATAGTGTAACCTAAATTTGCTCAAATATGAAGGCCCAGTTTGTGAAATTTACTAATATACTACTGTATTTACATAAGTATTACCTTAGTTCTATATCTCCAATATCTTATTAACTAATAAGAAAAATATTAGAGTGACAAAAAAAAGACCTGTAAATTAATTTATTACTTTCACTTTATCATATTTAGGCTGTTCTCAAGCATCTAAATCAATTGATCAGATAATAATCGTGATGACGCTCAAGCATGACGATATTTATAGAATTAAATGCTTGAGTATACTTTTTCTGTTTTTCGTAATATTCGCTATACTAATTTTCTTTTCAATCAATTATTAAAGCTTCAACTTTAGTTACGTCGGCTCCTCTTTTTACAATTTGAATTTCTTTACTATCCATCAAATATAGAAAAACATCTACCCAAACCTTTCTGTTTTGAGTCTTCTTTACTAAGAAGATTTTAAATTTAAATGGGTGAAAAATGGAATAAAAGTTAAAGGATAGATTGTATCTATTACATTCATATCAAGTTATCTATTATTTGTTTTGAAAGCTTTGAATATTAAAAATAAAGTGACTATCTTTTTAGACTAGTTAAGAATTAATTGTTTATTATGCTTGATATGTAATGTAAAAGAATTCTAAAAAAAATTTAAATCAAAAAAAAAAATTAAAAAATTATGCCTGGCCCATTCTATATATATGAATCATTTACTTTATTAATCAATTACATTTTATACTATACGTGAGTAATTCAGGATGCTATTTTGAGAATATTTGTAGAAACTCTCAGGAGCATTATTTTGTGCTTGTACAGTGGTTTATTCTATAATATTGGCACAGAAATTCAACCAACACTATAACCCATTTTTGTTTGAGTGACCTAAAAAAAAAGTCAAAAGAGCAATTTTATCAGTTCAACTCTTAACCTCAGACCAGCTTTGTTTTAAATACTCTTATATGTACGTAAAGTAAAAAAACAGTTTGGTAATGTGTAATATCAATTATTTAAAATACCCTTGATTTACCAAAGAGGTATAGAAAATCTTTTGATATAAATATACATAGTAGCATCTTTAAAGTATGAACACTATATCTTCTTGGATGACCTTATCTGTGATAACAATAAAGACATAGTTATTCATTGCTATATATTAACAAATATAAATTCGAGTCATTATCTTTATTTAGAGAATTTCAAATTTTCGCAAATGAACACTCCACTCTAATTATATTCTGAACTGCATCAACTTTATAAAACTGGATAATTGAAAAAAAATTTTTTCTGAGATCTGATCTATATGCACATATATGCATGTTGTACATTCTAGTTTTAGTTGTTATATGAACAAGAAATGAATCATATGTTGTAACCACACATATGTGTATATGTAAATTAGATTAGACATCAAAGTATAAATACCATAAAATATGGAAAATAAGCACAGCACCCTCTACTCTAAGGTAGAGGGCGCTGTGCTTATTTTCTATATTTTACGGTAAATTTAGAGTTTTGAATTGAAGTATCCTTAACATCTCTTATATAGTGAAATGAATCTTAATTAACAAATTGCTTAACAAAAAATTTCTTGTAAAAGATACAATTGATATTACAACTTGTAAAGTATAACCTACTTTTAATACGTAGTGTTAGCTTTGAAACATATAAGAGTTTATTAACAACTAATTTTTTTTTTTGTAGCTTCAAAATTTAACGAAAATATATTACTTTTAGCATAATTATAAGGAAGAATGCTTTAAATTTACCATTATGATCAATAAAAAAAACTCTCTATATATTGATAAGCAAATGAAGCAAACTTATCTGTGAATTAATCGACTGTAATAACCTTGCCTGTAATTAAATTCTCTGCGAACTAAGTTGTCTAGTAATTATCGGTGAGTTGATACTAAATAAAATACAGCCTTCTCTCTATAGTTACACCTTCGCATATTACTATTATATATTCTTTAAAGTATTCAATTTATAATGGAAAAAAGTAAGGTTTGTTTGAATGGAATTAATCGCAAGTGGTAAATTTTAGACCGTTAATACCTTTTTTATCATTGTTACACAATAGTAACAGTAAAATTCACTTTTTTTATAAGGTAAAATTCACTTTTCTTTTTTTTTATTGTAAACTTTTTGTTATTTGTATTTGCTTTAATATATTTTAAAGTATATAAAACCTTGTGAAGAACGTGATTAGACATGTTTATGTAGAATCTTGTGACGTGGTTAGAATGTTTATATAGAATCTTGTGGAGAACCGGAACATGAATAAAAAAAGGAACTATGTTATTAATTTACTTTTTTGGATGACTTATGAATCTCGATCCTTTTTTTTTTTTTTTGAGGTGATTATGGTGATGTTCTTAGATGTATTAAAGCGTTATTTAATGCTAATTATTAATACTAAACTCTAAATATCTCCCATTAATTAGAAGATATAAGATGAAACACAATAAGATAATAAAATATAAATAATTTAAGATGTTAATGTTATGCTACTTATTACTAACAATGAATAAATTATCTTTATCAACTGATAGTGCTGTAAAGTCCAAAATAGCTTGGCATCTGTTATTTTCGAATCTTAGGTGTATACAAGTACCACTAACCGAAGTATCTTTGGTAATAGACCTATATATATTTGACACAGTATCATCTGGAGGTGGTAGTTTTAGTGAAGGTTATACAGTTTTGTCTCAAGACTGTACAAATAATGGTCGGGTAAGGAAGGAACTTGATTATTACAAGTCATGTGTAAGATAGATTCTTGTTATTTTCAAATGTAAAGTTGTGTGAAGGAGATATAAAAAGTATTACACTTATTGATGAAAATGCAAAGTGTTTATCTAATTTGACACTGGCATATATAAAATACCTTAAATATTCTGCTCGGGTATGTAATATGTTAAATAGATTTGTTTATTTTAAACTAACTCACAAAATGCCAATAATACTGTTTTAGAATGGCTGCCGCAAGGGCAAATGTAATTGGAAGGGCTGTATCGCAGTTTTTAAGGACAAACCACTTAATCTATGTGATATCGAATGCTGTGGAAATCATGATCCTGAACATGTTAGAACAAAGCCATATCGAATGGCAAAAGTAATCAAAAAAGAAATCGCAAGTAGATCTACAAACACAACGCCATCAATATTGGCAACAGGTAAATTTAAAAGCTATTTTAAATTTGAAAAAAAACAACTATTATATTATCTATTTTGCATATTTTTAGAATTTATAAACAATGCAAAGATTTCCAATATAACTGCTAGTACACCTGCAAATCAAGTTCAACCAATCTCTACTCGATTTACACCTAATCTTGAGGCAATTCAAAATGCTCTCAAGTATGACAAAAAGTTACACTATCCAAGTGCTTTAGAGTTTGAGAAGGTGATAATCTGATGGTTTTTATTTATTTATTATTTATTTATTTATTTATTTTTGTTTGAGTTAACAGGTTAGTTCTTTAATGGATACTTATGAAGCTGAAGGTGTTGCAATATCAAAACAATATGGCATTAAGAATGCACAGGATCCCAAGGAACAAGCTGTGCTTCTTGGCATCGCATCTACAATTATGCCAACATTATTGGCCAAGTATTCAGATCTTCTTGCAGTAGATTCTACTGGGCGCCGTAACTGTTTAAACTTTCCGAATACGGCCTTTATGATCAGATCGGATAAACCCCGTAGTCGAATTATAGCTACATTCATAAGTGACAGAGAAACGATACCAGTCGTTAACCTGATGTTCGAATCAGTAAGTATTTTTTGTTATTTTTCTGGATTCTACTAGGTAATATTAAACTCTGGCTATTCTTAGTTAATTCATTATAGTGCTAGGAATGACATTCAACTGAACCCTAAGTGGTTAACTTTAGACAAATGGAACCCATATCTTGTAGCAGCTAAAAAATACTTTTCAAATACGCAAGCAATTTTATGTGACTGGCATGAAGGTGAATTTTTGATTTTTTTTTTTTTTTTTTTAATATTGCATTCTTATAATATTTAAATTTTGCACTCTTTTAGCCGATGCTCTCAAGGAATGGTTTACAAAAAATCTGAATGATCAATGGCTTAGAGATCGAATATTCTACCAATTCAGATTTGTCAAGCGATTCCAAGATCAGGAAGAATTTAATGAAAGAAAAATTACTATTTTAGATGCAGAGAAACTTCAGGCTGCTATTGGAATAATAAAGTTAGATACTGTGAGGGTTATTACATCTTATTTTTGAATACATTGGTTTGGTGATTGGGTTGGTTAGTAAATATAGTTTACTTTATAATTGGTCTTTTATATGTTTTATTAGTAATTTATAATGTAAACTCAAAAATTCATTATATCAAGCATTTTATTAGTAATTTAATAATATTAAGAAATTTTATATAGATTGGTTTTGTGTTTAATTTTTCTGTATTAAAAATTCACAAAGAGTAACTGATTTTCTTCACATTTTGTAATAGATACCTGGCCGGATTATAAGCGTGATAATTGTTTTATGAAAACAAACATGCTATTAGAAATTTACTTTAAGAAAGATATGCTAATTTATTATCGGGGAAGATACACTAAATCTTTACATACTAATCTTGAGAAAATCGGAACGTTGATACGTGTTGATGCTAGAGAGATAAAAAGGTTAGTTAAAATGCACCTTTTTTTTTTTGTAAAATCTTTTCTACATAGGTTCTGGCAAGGAGATGGTAAATCTCCTACAAAATCGAAATTGCAACGAGAAAAGGGAAAAATCATAAAACAGGATAAATCATTATACAAAAAAAATTGTGTTCAAGGTAGGCATATACTATATTATATAAATTTTTTTATATTTACTAGTACAATGATTTTATTTAATCTCTTTAATTTAGAAATTGGTCAAAATTCCTGGAATGTGTTTCGGTTCGATATAAATGATGATCTCCAGCATGCTGCTGCTGAACTAGACAATGTCCAGCACGCTACTGCTGAACTAGACAATAATGATGTCCAGAATGCTGCTGCTAAACTGGACGATGATGATGTCCAGCATGCTGCTGCTGAACTAGACGATGATGATGTCCAGCATGCTGCTACTAAACTAGATGATGATAATGATATCCAAAATGCTGCTGTTGAACTAGACAATGATGTTAGTAAAGAAAGCTCAAGATTATCTGAGAGCCAAGAAATAAAGACTCCTGAAACAAATGACAACTATTTCATTAAACGGCATGGAAAGTTATTATGTGTTACTCACAAAAATGGAAAATTTGCTTGCCCTTGTAGTTTCAATGTTATTTGTAGTCATGATTGCCAAGACATTGTGACTGTTCGTTTCTTAATTAATGAGTTTGAAGTACAAAAGTATGGATTATTTGTTTGTTAATTTTTTCATATAAATGTTTAATTAGATTATTTCTTTTTTTTTTTATATAGTAATATTTCTCATAGTAATTACAAAGCACAAAGGTAGATTTATTTTATTAAGTATATATATATAAATCAGTACTAGTTAGTTCTAATATATGCAATTTATAAGATTATATAATTGTTACCGCATTAAGGGGCAATCAGATGATGCGCATAGAGCTATGCTTATTAATAGATTGATTACTTTTGATACCTTTCCTTGCTTTCTTATAGATTTGTACCCGAATCAACTTCAAATACTTCTCTTGAGTCTTATATTCGTCAAAAGAATGCTAATAGTCATAGCAAAGATGAGTTTAAATTACCTCAAAAAAGAGGACCCAAGAATAAAAGAAAAAGTAGATTAGTGCCAGGAGAGTCTATCCAACTTTGAGATGCAATACTATACGAGCCTTACTATAAGATTCAAATTGTTGAAATTATTGGTGATGGTGAAGTTATTGTAGATGTTATGTTGGAAAATGGCGATAAAGATCAATGCATAGTTCAATTAGCTAACATAATCGAATATGATGACGAACAATTAAAAAAAAAATCAAAGGTAATGAATGTAATTGTCATTTTAACTTTTTTCTTATTTAATAATATTTTTTTATGAATGAATAATAGGCAGATAAATCAATTAAATCTTCCAAATCTACTGTGTCGTCTAAGGACTTTCATGGTAATACTGTAGTCTTTACGATGCCGTATGGAGGGAAAAAAAATGAATTGCATTTGACTTCTACATGTGCCGTAGACACAAGTCTTACACTTATTCAAAGTGCCTTTACTCACCATAATATATATAAACAAGCTAACGATTTGGCTCTAGCCAACCCAAATTCGCAGACACTTCTTCTTCTTCAAGTTTTGGATCGCATGAAAAATAAACAATGGTTAGAAGCAAAAATTCTTTGAACTGAAAGTTTACCTTCATATACAAAACTAGTAAAGGCTGGTCAAATAAATTTATTGAGGGCTGGTTTTTTGAGCAATTTTTTCAAGATTCCTTAGACCAAAATCTTCTTGTCACTAAAAGTATAATAACAACAATGTGTGATTCAAACTACTATCCAAGAAAAGTCTTATCACCGACAAATTTTTATAATATTATACTTGTGTAATGCTTAACAGTTTTCATTTTTGTTTTTTTATATTTTTTCAATATTAATTTATAATAACATTTTTTTTAACTGATTTTACCGACGCAAATTTTAATTAACTTATTCTTCTAGAAAAATACATATGTGCATATTACCGGGAAGCAATTATTTTGAAACTTGTCTTAAACAGTGGAAAGAACCTTATATCGTTCCTTATGGATCAGAGTTTAAGACTAAAAATGGAGAAAAGCCAAAAAATATTCCTATGAACGTCTTTAGGTTCGATAAATATATATCCGTAGAGACTGGAAAAACCAAGTGATTTATCTTTACCTTTTCTTATTTGCTTTTTATTATTTATTACTTTTTTATTTTATTTTATCTTATTTTATTTTTAGATATTTGTATATATGTTTAGGCAAAGCTACATCAACAAGACAAATTGATCAGCGGTTACCTCTTATTCTTGCAATCAATATTATGGGAATCAGTATTAATGAAGAAAGAATATGTCTTGAGAATAAAGACCTTCCAGAGGAAATTGGTTTTCCTCCAGATGACATACAAAAAATGCAAAGGTGAGTTTTCGCTGATCTAATAAAGGTTTTTTTTTTTTTTTTTGCACCTCTGTATTTACGATTATTTACAATTTGAAAATTAGATATCATCTTACAGGTGTTTTTTTTTGCAATAGCAATCACCATGTTGCCGATATTCATTTTGAGAATATTAAAAATTCAGGCTGGTATCAATATGATGGAATGGGAAAAACCTACCGTACGAGAGCAATGCATATAGGAAATGCACGCCCACCTTATAGAGATAGCTACGTAATAGATTTCGTAATTTACATAAAGATTTAGACCTTTATTAAATAGTCAAAAACAATCTTTACAAAGATTTATATTATGTTCATAATACAGAGCTTGAGATGCTAATAAATTATGAAGTGTTTTAAATAGAAATCTTTCTATATTTGAAGATAAAAGTTTGTATCACATAATTGTGCGTAATACTTATAAAAGTTATTTCGGAAGCGGGGCCTTTTAAAATGTCATACAGTATATTCTCAAAATAGTGTCCCAAATTAATGCATGAATAATATAAAATATAATTAATTAATGAAGTAAATAATTCATATATATAGAATAGACCGGGCAGATTATTTTTTTCTTGATTTAAATTTTTTTTAGATACTGTATCTGATATTATACCCATCAGTTAAATAAAACATATGAATAGAATTTAGATTTACCAACTAATGATATTCTCAAGGACCTCACTCAATAGATCAGAAGTAAAATTTTAATTAGTTGGAAATTGAATAAATTAACCAAAAAAGTTATCATTTTGATGAACAGATTAGTGAGATACAAACAACTTCAAAAATTTACCACTGATAAAGGTCGCTTAAGCATTACTTTTATATTTTTACATATCAAACATAATATATAAAAGGAGAAGCCGACGTAACTAAAGTTGAAGCTTTAATAATTGATTAAAAAAAAAATTAGTATAGCGAACATTACAAAAAACAGAAAAAATATGCTCAAGCATTTAATTCTATAAATATCATCATGCTTGAGCGTCATCATGATTATTATCTGATCAATTGATTTAGATGCTTGAGAATAGCCTAAATCTGATAAAGTGAAAGTAATAAATCAATTTACAGGTCTTTTTTTCGTCACTCTAATATTTTTCTTATTAGTTAATAAGATATTGGAGATACAGAACTAAGGTAATATTTATGTAAATACAGTAGTATATTAGTAAATTTTACACACCAGGCCTTTATATTTGAGCGAATTTAGGTTACACTATGCGCATTTTGATTTTAATCCTTGAAATAATACATTGAAGGTGGGCATTATTTCTGGCTTATATACATAGTATTTGTTTTT